TACTAAGCCCACAAAATCTAGCTCTAGTTAACAGCTATTATCTAAAGTGGTACACGATATTATGGAGGTCACACTGGAATTCATTATGCCAAACAGCTTTTCTAGTCTGAATGGTGAGAAAATTCAATGTGTAGTATTAGCATCAGAATAAATTGATTATTATGACACACAAGGAGAACAAGCTCTGTTTATGACGGATTACATTGGTACACGTTAGGTAAGTTGCGGCTGTCCATGTTATTCTATATATTAAATACATTCCTTCCATACGTCCCGGTCCTATAGACTCATGAGTCAAATAACTTTTGTTGTTTAATGTTTTATTTAATGGATTTAACAATGGTGGATATTTGAACATTATTGTTCATTGATTTGTGTCTGTTAGTTTTCTGTACTGGTTTGCCAATAAAGCTTATTTAAATTTGGGAGAAATAGAAAGTGTGTGTGTGTGAAAAATATTCATATTCGAATTGTAACCATTCTAATATATTGAAATTGTTCAAGCTCATAAGAACTTTTGAAGTAGTTTGCTTCATGATCCAGCAGAGGGCACTCACCATCAGCTTGACCTTCTAAATGCCCTCTTGACCTCAGTTAAGTGAGTAAGCTGGTAGTGTTACTTGTTTTGCTATGAGAATGGAGGACGTAGTGAAGCAATACCGTACTGAGCGGAGAATCACGACATCTATCACAAGATCTTAATGCAGTTATTACATGTCAGGTAACAGCCATTTATTCATTTTCGGGGAAAAGTGACAGCACTAGTGTGTGTAATGTAATGTAAGCATGTAATCAGGAAATTTATATCAGTATGAAAACACACACACACAAACGCACACACACACACACACACACTGCATTCATTCCTTTACTTCTGTTTCAAAGTGATGTCATTGTGCTATATTTCATCATCTAGCTTTGAAGAATGATCTCACACACACACACAAAAAGCAGACCCCTATATCACAGACAAGATATCTTTCTCAAAATAGACTGTCAAAGGCATTGTTGCCAAGGGATAATGCTCTATTTGTGGATAGTGACAGATCTGAGCTACCCGTGTTTTAATATATACATACACACAAAATGTACCCACACACTCGCACAGTAAATGAAATCGACAGCTTGTTTTTTTAAACCAAGGAAAGAAACAAAACACTGTGTGTGTTCTGTAAAGACATTCTTGATCACTCACTGAATGTCTACATATCTGTCAATAACATGGATGGCCATAAACATGTGTGTGTGTGTGTGTCTACAAATTGCATTAATGGTGGGATCCTACAGATGATGTTTGACTGGTCACATAATTATAATGTGAAACAAAAAATATCAGAAACAATGTGACCTTGCGTCTGCACAGTAAAATTTACAAAGACTCCATTGTTCACATTGATGTCCTTCTAAAAAAATCAAATTATAAATGTTAACATTTCTACTGATATACATCACTAAACATATTATTAATCATCATGTTTCAAATCAATGACAAAAAAAACCACAAGAGAGAATGGACCAATAACATAACATTAGAAATAGAAGAGATAAAACCCCAAATCAAAGAACAGTAAAAGCAACCTGAAAAGCTTAAGATGAGTTCACACAGCAAACTGTTTAAATTGCTGTACATTTTGTGTCTTATTCCCATTTTGATAGGAAAATAGGTTTTATTGCCAAGTAGGTTTTAACTTGAGTTAATCATGCCTACATGATTGGCATAAAAATAAATAGAAAATCTAAATAAATCCAAGTTTCATGTTTTACTCAAAGCTGTGTGACAATTTATTCTAGCTATAAAATTATTAAATATGTTTCCTGCATATGTATTATTCTATAAGGTGGATCGTTGAATGATACTGATACTGCTGCTTAATTTAATAACACATTTGGCATTTTCAAGCGACAGTAATTACAGTTTAATTA